GATGTACTCTGCATATAGGTTAAATAAGCAGGGTGACAGTATACAGCCTTGTCGTACACCTTTCCCTATTTTGAACCAATCGGTTGTTCCATGAACAAGGGGTTAGACTATTTATTTATTTATAAGATTTATATGGCCACGCAACTCAACAAAGTGACTCTGGGCAGTGTATAAAAGTCAACTAGAAATACAAATCCAAAAAAAGAGAAACACAATACTTTAAAAACCAGCTAAAGCTATAAAATGGCAACTGGATTAAAATGAACTGCAGCTAACAATTGGAACTATAGTGTACTCATCCAGACCCAAAGGCCTCAGGAAAGAGCCACATCTTAACTGCCTTTCTAAAGGCCTGCAGGGTCAGGGCCAATTGTATATTGGGGCAGATTATTCCAAAAAGTAGGGGCTGCCACTGAGAAGGCATGCCTTTGAGGTCCCATAAGGTGGCATTGTCTCAGTGAGGAGACCTGGAGTATACTCTCCCAGTTGGAGGGTGTGAGATAGGCAGATAACCTAGGGAGCAGGCAATCCTATAAATAACCTGCTCCTATGCCATGTAGTTCTTTATAGGTGATAACAAGAACCTAGAATTACACCCAAAAGCCTATTGGGAGCCAGTGCAGATCATGGAGTCAAGGTGTCACGTGGGCGTGATGAGGAACTATCTGCAGTGCTACATTCTGGACCAGTGAAGCTTCTGAATCATCTTCAAGGACAGCCCCAAGTAAAAAGCATTGCAATAATCCAGTTGGGAGGTGACTAAGGCATGAGTGACTCTGAGCAGGGCTCCCAGCTCCAGGAATAGGCACAATTGGTGGACAAGACAAAGTTCCACAAAGGCACCTTTGGCCACAGCTGCCTTGTCCTCTTCCAACAGGAACTGTGAATCCAGGACAACCCTCACATTGCCAACTAAACCTGAATTGGGCAGCCCCCCCCCCCCCCCCCGAGGCAAGGATTAAAACTTCCCAGTCCCTGTGGGATCCAAAACCCACAACCACTCAGTTCTGGAAGGGTTGAACTGAAGCCTGTTGTTCCCCATCCAGTTCCCATAGCCTCCAGACACTGGGACAGAAGCTTGATAGCTTCACTTGATAGCAACTGGGGTGGAGATGTAAAATTGGGTATCATCAGCGTAGTGGTAATACTATACCCTACAGTAATGGATGATCTCTCTCAGTGGCTTCATCTATATGTTAAAAAGGAGAGGGTAGACCCCTGTGGCACCCTGAAAAGCAGGGGCCTAGGGGTAGGCTGCTCTTCCTCCAACAACACTGATTGGGACTGGGCATGAAGGAAGAAGAACCACCACTGCAGGCCAGTACCCAACCCAATTAAGTCTGTCCAAAAGGATACCATGGTTGATGGTATTGGAGGCTGCTGAGAGGTTAAGGAAGGCTAGGATGGATGTCCTACTGCCATCCTCAGCCCACCAAAGTTCATTCACAAGTGTGACCAAAACTTTCTCAGTACTGTATCCTGGCCTGGAATCTAACTGGAAAGGATCCACATTATCCATTTCTTCCAGGACCTTTTGGAGCTTGGGCCTTTTCAGCAACCTTTCCCAGAAAAGGTTGGAGACTGGATGAAAATTGTCCAGATTTGTAGGATCCAGTGATGGTTTCTGTTTGAGGAGGGAGTGGACCTCTTTCAGGCATCAGGACCACCCCTTCTCTCAAGAAAGCATTCATCACCACATGGATCCACCCACATGCTACCTCCCTGGAGGCCTTGACCAACTAGGAAGGGCTTGGATCTAAAATACAGGTACTGCACTCACAGTACCAGGGACCCTCTTCACTTCCTCAGGACTACCAGGATCAAAATCATCATAGATAACATGACAAGACCAAGCCCCAGTCAGCTCCATAGGACTTGCCCAGCTGGAATCCAACTCCGAGCAAATTCAAGCAATTTGATCCACAAGGTACTGAGAATAATTCTTACAGCAGACCTGCAGGTACTGTCCCAGCCCCTTCTCACCAAGTAGGGACCAGGTGTTCTGAACAGGGCTACCACATGAGATCCAGAGTACACAGAGTGGAAAAATGGGCACATTTTCCTGCTTTTATCACCACAAGGCAGGGTCAACAAAAGTTCTAGCCTGTGTCTGATCAGATTCTCTTCCAGTTTTCCTCCAGTGGTGCTGTAGGCATCTCTTCTGCTGCTTCACCATCCAGAGATCCTCCAGAGAACCAGGAAGCAGGCTGGAGTCTGTGCGCAGGGAAAGTCTGCATAGGTGCAATCTATTTGAAGGCCACCACCACTGCCTTACTCAAGCAGTGACCAAGGTCTCAACCAAGCCATGTATCAAAACCTCTGGAACAGTTCCAAGCTCCCTTTGAAACCTGATTGGGTCTGTGCTCAAGAATTATTTTTATTTATTGTTTGTAAGTTATTCTGGGAGTCTTTTCTGTCCTGATAAAATGCTTAAAATACATGTTATTATTAAAAAGTTGTTAAAATAATCACAGTCGATTGTATGCATTAGGTGTATTACCATTAATCTCATTTTCATTTTTTCCTATTAGATGGCTAAATGTGAACCCTGCGAAAGAAATTATGATAACATGGTAAAAATGCTTGAGGATCTAAATAGGGATTTGGAAAAACTTCTGGAAGACATGGAAAAATTATCAGGTGTGGCTATATTCCTGAAGTGTATTTATATATTGCTAACAAATTGTCAGTTCAGTCTAGTAAGAAGAAATTACTGCAGTTGATGTGTATGTGCATTCACATAACAATGCTTATTAGTAACTTGTTAAATCTGATAATGTGTTGAATGTGCATCCCCATTTGGTAGCACTGGTGATATGTATGTAGTTAAGAGCTATGGATTTTTATGTTAGAACAGTTTGTGTAAAAGTTGCTCTGTTTCTGCAGATCAGGGTTTTATGAAATTAAGCTACTGTAAGTGTGGCTTGTTCTTATGAAAATTGTTACTCTGCTTTTTCCAGAAGAAATTGCTCATTTAAATACTTGTCTCTCCATTTTTCAGGAGAATAGTATATTAGTTTTAAAAAAGAACTAAATTAAAATACCTTTTAAGAGATGCCACCATTCTGCAACCTTGCAGACCCATAAATACACTGGTAAAGAATATAATTTCTTGTTTTAACTATCTTAAACATGACAGATTTCTTTTCCTGACACATGAAGTGTTGCATATGGATTAAGGGCCTTTAAAACCATATGGGAGAATAGTTGTCAGAGTGGCAGAGAATATGTGGGGGAAAAAGATTAAATATCTTCAATCCATTATGTGTCTGTTTTGAAATGCTCCTTTCCAGATCAGGTTTTCCAGTTTGTGAAGGGATACTGGACTATTGTAAACCTTAATGTGTTTTTTAAAAAAACCTCGATTCTTTATAGATTGATATCAACTCAAAACTCCAGTAATAATAAACTGATTAGTTAATTGATAAGTTATGTCATACAAATTTTTCCATTAATTATCATATACACTAAAATGGTGCTTTTTAAATGTTAGTTAAAATGTTCAGGCTCACTCAAATAATAATGGATAAGTCTGCATTCTTTATCTACTTAACTAGAACAATCATACTAATTTAAATTAAATAATTATAATAGTGACTCTAAAACAGTGGGTTGAGTTTCTTTGAGGAGATGAGTAGAAATGGAATAGAGTAGCAGGCAGAGATGAGATCTTATATAAAATGGTACCATATATTGATGGAGGAGCAGTAAATGAGATCAAAAAGAAAGAAAATTCAGAGATACACTACAGATCATTCTGAAAATAAAAAACATACATTTTTATGTTACTTTAGTCATAACTTGCAATTATTAACATGCAGATACTGGTAGTCCTTGCTTAACAACCACAACTGGGACTGGCAACTCTGTTGCTAAGTGACATGGTCATTAAGCGAAACCATGTGACTGTGACAGACTTATGACCTCACTTCCACTGCAGTTAAGTGAATCACCTGCATTCGTTAAGTGAGACATCATGTGATTGCGACTTGCAGTTTTACTGCCAGCTTCTCCATTGGCTCTGCTTGTCAGAAGCTGGCTGTGAAGCGTGCAAATTGTGATCACATAACTGTGGGATGCTGCAACAGTTGAAAATGCCCACTGGTTGCAATGTGCCAAGATCCCGATCATGTGACCATGATCTGCAGTGGTCGTAAGTGTGAAGACCTGTCGTAAAGTTACTTTTCCAGTGCCATCACAATTTTGAACAGTCACTAAACAGGACAGTCATTAAGCAAGGACTACCTGTAATTGGAGTGACTGATTGCTTTTGCTCTCAGTAAAACATCATTTCACGAATAGAAATTTGGTGTCTTTAGTTAGAGATTCTAACTGTGCAGCAACTACTGTATGATAATGTAAATCAGATTGTGCAAAAAAAAATATCTCGAAGGTCATATTGTTTTCATCAGGAGTACATTTCATGGAAGAGATTTTAACCCCCTTTTTATGGACCAATTCCTGACTCATTCCAACTCACACTACTGTTTTTAATAGCCTAACTGGGTTCTTACATTGTGTGATTATTTATTTAACAAATGTGTTTATCACATTTCTGTACATTAGAGCGTAGTGTCCATGCCAAAAGTAATCAGGAATGCACACATATTCAAAACTAGGACTCCTGTAATTATAGCCATTCCAATTAAAAATAGTGGCACAGATCCACCCTGAGGGTTAATGAAATGGAAAACAATGGATGAATAAACTAGTTTTTGTAGTACAGTACAAGTATTTGCAAGCCTTGAATCCTTAAATACCATATTTGAAGAAATATTTGGAATAAGAATTGGCAGTTCTGTTACTGATTATTTTTTTATTACTTTCTCATTCATCCCATGCAAATTCATCCATTGAATTACTGAATTTATCTGTTGGATTGTCTCAGTGCAGGCTACTTGGATGGCTTATGATATGGTGGTAATGCGAGCTAATCCAGACTTGGCCAATTCAATGAGACGTCTGGAAGATGCCTTTCTCACTTGTAAGGAAGAAATGGAGAAAAATTGGCAAGAAATGTTGAAGGAGACTAAAGGAGCTGAACCAAAACAATAAATGGTTTTGAAATCTCTGGTGGAAATTCAAACCTAGGAAGAGTTAGTCTTGAGTAGTGTGGTCAGTGTTTATTTACAAAATATATTTTAAAAATATGTGCCTGAGCTGTGTCTATTTCAATTTTTATACTTGAATGCAAATGCTTTCATATATTAATTTATGCACAACTACAGTATGATTTTATTGTATTTTCATCATTGATGCTGTCAGTCACAGAGCATAGTCTTGTCATATTCAGTTTCTCTATTAACCTGCAAAATTAATGACCTTAGGAATGGAAGTAACTGCATCTAAAGTTACTGATGTCTTGATCTTGGTATATATATATTTACATGAAAGAAAAATTTATAAGTGCAATCCGGTTTATTACCAAGTGCATTTGTAGAATTACAGCCCTAAATCACAAATAAGCAAGATGAGAATAACTTGACCACAAGATGACACTCACACATAGGATCAGCTTTAGAAAAACAAATTTCGGCACACCAACAACACAGGTTGTATCCAGATATGCGGTAAAACGTAAATTTAATAGACCATTCAAGGAAGAGAAGGGACAAATAAAACTGAATGTATGTTAAAGCCAAAGATGGAAAAAGAGCAACAGTGTAACTCAGGACCAGGTGAGGAGGTAGGAGACAAAGATAGTTACTTTTTTTTTTTTCCTGGTTTGAGGCAAGCCAAGAAGGGTTGGAGGGAAAAGGTACCCTCTCACATGAGCTAAAGAACACACAGAATGGCTACCCACACTAGTGAAATTAGCAGAGTGGCAGAAGTTATGCTTGAGGTTCTTGGCATTGATTGATAAGGAGAGAAGTGAAAGTGACAAGGAGGTAGAAGCATGCAGGTACCAAGGAGATGCAAAGGATCTGCTTAGCTCTCTCCTCCCCGTTTCCATGTTCAAGAGGGTTGGAGGGGGATGGGAAGGGTGGCAGGCAAAGGAGCAGAAAGCATCCAAGACTGGGAAGTGAGCCCTCATGAGAGCAAACAGTCGCCTTTGGAAAGTAGTATGGAAGAGGCAGAAAGCACACAAGGGGGCTGCTTGGGTCAAGGTCTCTTTCCCTTTTTGTTCAAAAGAGAGGAGGGCGGTGCAGGGCTCAAAAATCTCACCTACTACTAGGAGAGTGAGTAAGAGGGCTGGGTGCACTTCGCTGGTAGCGGCTGCAGTTGTGCTGCTGCGAGTCTTCAGACACAGACACGTCATGCAGTGCAGAGAAGGAGGCTGGAGCTCCAGCAACTTGAAATCTCCGCTGAAGCTGAAGGAGAAGTGGCCGTTGTCAAGACTGCTTTGTCAAACATCAGATGCTGTCCAGTATCTGGAGACAAAAGTGTGAATTGAAATTTTGTTTGCTATATGCAAAGACTAGTGAATGGGGGCTTGCATTACATTTTGCTGTAATATGCATTGGCTACCATTTATTCTTGCAGTTTTATTGTGTACACAAGTCCCATTCAAGTGATACGTTTGCATGCATGTAGTACTCCCCAAGCAGAGTTGACACCAGTCCCCACGGGCGTAAGATGAGGAAGCTTCGTACAGCAGACGGTTGCACTGTATTCGTGGAGTGTTGATAATTCTGATGACACAGCATGGCTTTACAGAGGGTTCCTTTCCATAGGAGTGGGTTGTTCAACTACATGGCAAGTATTCCACACAGTGTGTTGCCAGAATAGGGCTACTGTCAGCTTCTTTCTAATAATCAGTAATCTCTTTCATTCCCATTTGTTCTTAATTACTATGTCACCCAAGTCAAAAATAGTTTGATCAGGATGCAGTTCTGCACTGAAACAGATGTTGAGTGCTGAACACCCATAGGCATTTTTTAAAGCAGGAGATTGCTTCTATGTTTCCTTTCATTAGTCCTGGGAATGTCCTGCACCTAAAAAGAAATCAGAATTCCAAAATATTCAAAATTAATTGCCATTTGTGGCTTACATTATCACTACAACAAAACGGATATGTTTTTGAGTACTGTGGACATAGGAAGCAATATGAATTACTAGCAAGCCCATTGTTTCCTGATTTCCTCTCCCCGCCGCCCCGCAAGAATAAATAGGGTGGCAGTCCACCTGACTGCTCCAAACCTGTTTGCAGAAAAACTGGCTGAAGTTTATTTTTAAAACAGTTTTGCAAAAACCTGTTATAGAAACTATATGGAAAGAAGCTCCTATCCTGGCAGTCAGGTGTTCTTCCTTTGCCCTTAAATGTGAAAACAGATTAGTTTCTCTCTCTCCCTCTCCCTCTTTTCCTCTCCCTCTCTCTAGAGCAGCTAATCTCCCACATTCCTTTCAGTAATGTCTAGGACAGGCTGTTAAACTAAACAAAAAACAAAAAAAACTTTCAGACAGCCCACTGATATAAACAAGATTTCTTCAAAAATATTTAAAATCTCTCTAAGTCAGGAGATTTTAAATATTTTTGAACAAATCTCACCTTATGTCACTGTATCTTACTGTGGTTGATACCCATGCTTTGATATGATCAATGGGCTAATCAATAAAGTCCATCTATCTATCTATCTATCTTAAAGTAAGTTGTCTAAATTTCGTAGACTGTCAGCAAACTAGAACTTACTTTGCAGGTTCAGCCACCAAAATTATATTGTTCTGTTTTGTGCAGCCTGGCACTGACTAGCGGTGGAAAACAAAACAAAACAAAATGTTCTGTTTCTGTGTGGTGGAATGAGAACATCGTAGAGATTTAAAAAAAACAAACACTCAAGGGCTGCTGCCCAGGAGAAATCCCCAGCAAGCCCTCTGCTAGCATTTACTCCTAAAACACTCAGCAGCATAAAACAAAGAGGAGCTGTTGTGAGCTTTGCACATATCCCTGCTCAGTGGAACAGCAATGTTTTATATTTGAAGTGCCAGAGGAGCAGAGGTCCATACGGACAAGCTTAGACCAGCCATTTCAAACACGCTCTGCAACAAATTGCAAAACCTGGACTGCAGCAGCAGTGCATAGGAGCAGAAGGAGGCTGCGTGCATACATTAAAAAATCCCCAGACCAACCGGAATGAAATCTTCTCATTTTGAATTGCCCTCTGAGTTCTCTATAAGCAACATGGCATAATAGAATACACAAAGTACAGTAAAGAGCAAGGGTTCACAAGCCACCAAACAATATATGGAGTCTTAAAAAAGTCTGTTTTTTTAATGCACTCAAAGGAATATTGTAGCTCCAAAAGAGCCAACTCTTTTTTAATTATTTATTTTTTCCTTTATTTTACAATAATAACAAAAAAGAAAAACAAAAAGGAACAAAACACAAAGAGACATACATTATCAAAAAGAGAACAAATTATGTAACAAATGCTTAAAAAAGTAAGTGGAAAAAATATAACAGAAAAAATAATAGAAAAGTGAAAAAATGCTGTAAAGTAAGAATGCTTTCAAAAATATATACTGTAATTGTTTATGTTTATCAATTTACAGAATGCAAAGTGAGCAAACAAAAGAAAAATCTAAAATCAGTATTTGGTGTGACTACCCTGTGAAAAAATGCTGTAAAGTAAGAATGCTTTCAAAAATATATACTGTAATTGTTTATGTTTATCAATTTACAGAATGCAAAGTGAGCAAACAAAAGAAAAATCTAAAATCAGTATTTGGTGTGACTACCCTTTGGCTTCAAACCAGCATCAATTCTTACACCTACACACTTTGTATACTTGCACAATGTCAAGGATCTTGTAGGATTAGAGTCAGGTGTATGATTAACCAGTTATACCAAGCAGGTGCTAATGATCATCAATTTCAATGTAGGTTGAAACACAGTCAGAAACAGCTGTGTAGGAGGCTTAAAATTGGGTGAGGAACAGCCAAATGCTGCTACTAAGATGAGGTTGTGGAAGACAGTTTTATGTCACAGGTCATCTGCCATGGCAAGACTGAGCACAGCAATAAGACACAAGGTAGTTATACTGCATCAGCAAGGCCTCTCCCAGGCAAAAATTTCAAAGCAGACTGTGGTTTCAAGATCTGCTGTTCAAGCTCTTTTGAAGAAGCACAAAGAAATGGGCAACGTTGAGGACTGTAGACAC